ATAATTTGAACATATAGGAAGCCACACTATTCGTACGTCATAAATATTGCAACCTGTTTCAGACCATAGTCTAGTTTTTGGGGCAAAGAAAGAACTTTGGTGGAGTTGTCCCCCCCCCTTTGGGTGCAGAAGGGTTTTATACCATGAGGATGTGCGCATATTGTCGTTAGATACATACCTGCTTTACCTGTCTAGTAAAATCTTGATGATTCTGTTTGGTTCCTGTTCTATATGCAGTCGTTTTTATAGCTGTTTGAGAGAGAGAGAGAGAGAGAGAGAGAGAGAGAGAGAGAGAGAGAGGTGTCCTAGCTTCCCAGAGTCAAGAGTTTGAATGTTTTGAGGAACATTGATACTTTACTGTCCCACATTGCATCTCACTTTGTGTTTCTCCATCTCTTATTGTCTTTATGCTTCAGTATGACCAGTGTACTCTAGGATTGCTCCTTTTAGCTGATTGCTGTTAATTGATCAGGTCAATATATTGACACATACAGCTGAAGTAAAAAGACCACCACAGCAAAGAAAAGCCATAATCAAATTACAGAAAAAGCATGAAGCTGAAGATATGTGTGCACTCTATGACAGGAAGAATGAAGGATTGACTTCTTGTAGGAAAAAGCCAAAACGGCGCTGCCTGGATACGAACAAGGGTTCTAAAAGCCCTAGAAAAGAAGACACTATCGTGGGAGACTATACTGTACTTAAAAGCCAGGTATCAGAGGAAGAGAATATGAATGAACAGCGGAATGGTTCTGGAGATTTGGGACCCTCAAGAGCATATACTGCAGCTTGCGCTCTAAAACGTGCAGCTTCTCCCAAACTTGAAGTAAGTTATTGCTTGGGGCGGTAATCGACAATTTGTATGCAAGGTTCAACATCTTATTTTAATAGTCATAATTCTTTTTCTTCATTTCAGAAAGAAGACTCTGAACGGACGCATGGTGAAGTTAAGAATGCTGTCCAAAAAAGCTCGTTATCACATGATGGACATCATGAAGGAATTTCATCCCCTGACCATATTCTGTCTGGAACATCCACAAAAGACAGTCATGAAAAAGAAAAAACTTATGGTATGCGTGAAACTAACGGGCTTTGTGAATGTAACCTGGTATATGTACCTTCCACATTGATTTGAAATTATGCACTCTCCCAGCCTGGGTAAATCAGGTCAATTCAACAAATTTTACAGAACAATCTGAATCAAAAGGCACGTGCATGTGTGCTGAGGAGTCTCCTAATGGAATCATTCCCAACGTTGAGCATGATTGTGACAGTTCCTGTGCTGGTAAGATTTTTTTCTTCACTAGGGGGTGAAATGTTTCCATTCAATATCATTCTGTGAAATGTGAGCGACACTGACACTAATAGCTCTTTGAAAGAGGGGACTAACACGGGTCGTGACTCCATGCTGCACAAGTCTTGTGAACAAGGTGCGATAAAGGATTTTGCAAGACATTTGAATCTTCTAGACTGTAATCAGCCTGATGTTAGAACAGAAGAAGAAAAACCATACAGTCGGTTAAATTTTGCAGGGGCATGTTCTGAAATCAAGAATCACAAAATTGAGTCACTTAGAAATGATACGAGAACAGCAAAAGCTTTCCTTGAAAATGATGATGCGTTAGAGACCCAATACGGGAGTGCTGTATGGGACATATTTCGCAGGCAAGATGTGCCGGTGCTGATGGAGTACCTGAAAAAACACTACAGAGAATTCCGCCACATAAATAATCTTCCTGTGAATTCTGTGCGTGTCTAGTAAATTTTCTTAGTTTGCTTAATTGATGCTCTTTTCTTAATTCACCTGCTCTTATTGCTTTTCAGATAATACATCCAATTCATGACCAGACTCTTTATCTAAACGAAAGACATAAAAAGCAGCTAAAGGAAGAATTTGGTATGATGTTGTGTCTTAACTAGTTATGTCATTTGGCTGAATTTATGCAACTAGGAATTTCGCTTCAGGCATTGAACCATGGACATTTGAGCAACACCTTGGCGAGGCTGTTTTCATACCTGCAGGGTGCCCGCATCAAGTGAGGAATAGACAGGTAAAAATATAAACCCACACATCTCAAACTGTCATATGCCTCTTTAGGGTGCAAGGCTAGGAACGGTAGAAAGGGGGTGGGGGTGGGGGTGGGGAAGAGAAGGTAGGAGAGGGGAAAAAAAAACCAACATTACTGATCACAATTGTACATAACCATCCTATATGTAGCCATCCTTGATCAGTCATTTGCAAGTTTTTAACTTCGGGAAGTTTCCTTATTCAAGTTTGAAACATTTGTGTCTGTGTGAGTGTTTTCTCCCAGTCTTGCATAAAAGTGGCTCTAGACTTTGTTTCACCTGAAAATGTTCAAGAGTGTGTTCGATTGACGGAGGAATTTCGGCTGCTTCCGAAGAAACATAGATCGAAGGAAGATATACTGGAGGTAAAGTTAATCTATATCACATTATGACCTCAACCCAAGCGCTATTCAGTCCTGATGTTATTATGAAGTGTTTTCATTGATCTTAGACTTGTGAATGCTTTATTCCTTATGCAATAATGTCACAGATTTCATTCTTTCTATTTAGTTTCAGAACTGCCAGAGTATTTATCGAAATGATTAGTAATTTATTCAATACACGAGTTTTAAATGTTTGTCTTCTATTAGGCTTTATACTATGTGCTATTATACTAAGAGAATTCCAACATACTGCGTTTAAGATGTTCTTTACACCATACAATTATTTGTTTATAGATAAAGAAGATGGCACTGTATGCTGCCAACGCTGCTATAACTGAAGCCATGAGATTAATGCGGAGGATATGAGTGAGTTCGTTCTTGATCTGATGTTATCTTAAGCCGTCTTGCGTTATTCTCAAAATTAGGGTTCCACTGCACACAAAATAAATGAAAGGCTCCGTGATTTATTGATTTAAATGGGTTGAACTTGCGGCTTGTGCATGTGTGAGCCATTTTTTTGAAGCGTTTGCTGTGTTCAGTCTTTTGCTTTTATTGGGTGCTTTTGATAGAATGTACTCTTTTTGCACAGGTCTAATTGTCATCATCATACAAAACGTGGGAAACACTACAGGAAACCTGTATTGTGCAGTGGTGGTTTTCCCCCTTTTGGTTTTGGATATGCAAGTTGTATGATACAAAGTAGGCCCCCTTTTTTTGTATTTTACCAATTCTCAACTTCAATTTATTGGCCTGGGATCCTGGAGTGTAAATGTGACATGCATGGAATTGCGCTTTGTGCTTCTGAAATAGGTTGCACTAGCAAGCTGAGTTGATTTCAAGTTTGATCCCTCCTCCGTGAAAAGAGGGTTATTGGTGGTAGTGTAAGAAAAAGAACAAGAATAAAAATGAAAAGCCAAATATAAATTTGAGAAAGTATATTCTTATATTCTAAGTTAAATTATAATTATCATATCCTTGTGATTTCATGTAATAACATGTTACATTAGTGACTTATTAGCATGTTAATTAGTTTAATGTAATGGAAAGTTAAATATATTTAAACTGGGCAAATTCTGGAAATTCATTGAATTTCTGAAAATTCCGGGTGTGTCATAGTTTTATTTATCTATTATTTTCTTTATTTGAATTATATATATAATTTTACAGAAATTGAAATTTATACAATGCACATAATAAATAAAAAATGAACGAATACACGTATACCCTAGGAAAACAAAACATAAACTAGATTAGCACTTATGCTTATTTTTAGCATGTTTTAAGAAAAATATTAAATTATATTAACTCTCCTTTAGAATATAATAATTTGTCAACTTTACCTTTACTTAGTATATATACTTTTAAAAAAAATAACTATATATATTACAACAAATAAAGAACAAAATAGGATTAATAAAAACATTTCTCTCTATCTTAGTAAGGGAGTATATTTCAACAGTAAGACGATAGATTTTTCGACAAGAAAAACAGCAAGACGATAGTTTAGCACCCTCTCGTACTTATTTTGTAAAAAAAAAAAGAGTTTTAAAACCGGAGAAAAAGAGGGAAGAAAGACAACTTCACTGCAACATCCTTAACCAGTTTTCTGGACAACCTTAAACGAGTATTATTTTCACTTCAGGGCGGCGGCAGCACTGTTTTGTGCGGGTTTCTTCCCTGACACCCTGCCACCCAAAAAAGAGAGAGAATATAAATAGGTAACAAAATAAAGTAAACATATTTTATAATATAAATTTATATTATAAAATGAGTTTTGTATCTAGAACTGAAAAAAGAATGCCTCGTTTTACATGATTTTGTACTGCTGATAAAAAAAAATAGCATCACCTCCGAACCATAACACAGAAAGGGGGAATTCTACTCTTCCCGATGTTTTTTTTCTGCCTCCAATTCGTACTCCGTCTAACAACGTTAGATATTCTCGAGGCCTCTCTGTTTTCTGAATTCACATATTCTTGATCTTCCAACTTGTCCATGCTTCCACCATCTTCATCTTCTTTCCTATCTTCAGCTGTAACATATCTCTTTTTCAAGTTTCACCCATACGATTAGCTGAATTTAAGCCAAACCCACCCAGTTCGCGCTCTATCCTATTACAATATATTCCCAAAATTTACTTTTTCAGTGTAGTATCATTCAACTTTGCGTGAAACTCTTCGACCGGGTCACATGGCTGCCGTGCTTCGATCGAAGCCTTACAAGGAGACGGCCTCTCTCACTCTCGTTCAGTTCAGATATTTTGTGTACAATTATATGCATGCTGGTCGCATGCCCAGTTCTCATTGTACGCGTCGCACAAAGTGGGATGAGCGCTTCATGAATACTCCCTATCACTTCACTTCCTTCAAGCCCGTCTCGTTGCGCGGCGACTTCATCGAAAAGGGCACCCAGTTTATGGAGGGTAGGGGAAAAGCTCAGAATTGTAATAAAAACTTAGGTGACAAAATGGGCAGTGAGTCCAACTTTGTTACTTGTTCATACGGGGACCCGCCCGAGGTGTGGTCGGGTGGCGGAATTGTTGTTCGGCCGGGAAATACGACTTTTAATGTTGTCCGCGGCGGCGGCGGCGGCGGTCCTAGTCCTGGTTCAGGAGGTGATTCTGGGTCGAATTCAAAGGATGAGGACTGGGGTGGATCCAATTTGGGGCATAATCTTCCAACGCCAAAGGAGATTTGTAAGGGACTCGACAAATTTGTAATTGGACAGGAGAAAGCCAAGAAGGTGACTCTTTTCTCATTATGTTTGTCGTAGTACTCAGTTGTATTACTTAATTGGTTATTAGCTGTAAAGTCCTTGCCTATATGCTTAAAGGAGAATGCTAGTTGTAATGCGTTATTGTTCTTCTCTGTTTATTGGTGTTCAAGGCGAAGTTGGTGAGCTTACACATGATTACCTGGTTATCTACTAAGGATGACCTGTGTATGCTACATGTTTTGTCTGCTTGATTAAATATAATGCGGTAACTATACCCAAGAAAATATATGATTCAATAATTTTGCTTGGGACTGCTTCGCTTCTTCGCCTACAATGCTTTTACAAAAGGGAAGACGTACACTTTTTTTTTTTTTTTGGGGTATCAGGTTACCGTAACTATGTATCTCAAATGCAGGTGCTTTCTGTGGCAGTTTACAACCACTATAAGAGAATATTTCATGAATCTTCGCACAAGTGGTTAGTATACTACTTGAGCACACTGCAATTTCTTTCCTTGTCTCTTCTCTGCTTGTGAGCTTGGTACAAGTGTAAGCCAATTATGTCTGTTACTATCACCCTTTTGTTGATCACAGATAGTTATTGCATCCCAAGACTCGCTAAAATAGTGATGTTACTTTTGACTTGTTCTTACTATTTGGAACGTTAGGCCTGCAGGAGATTCACATAATGACAAAGCCGATACTGTTGATGAAGATAGAGTTGAAATTGAGAAGAGCAATATTCTTTTGATGGGGCCAACAGGATCAGGTGAATTAGTTTTTACTTTTCTCTTAAATAGAATTGCCTTTAAGGTTCGTAACTCTGCTTTATAGTCCTTCACCTTGTCATAGCATGTTGATTCGATCTTGATTCTATCCTTGAATCATACTCACTGAGTAATTTTACCGTATTGTTACTTTTGGTTACTAGTCTAACTAATTTTTCTTTGATGCCATTTCAAGGACAGGAAAGACATTACTCGCCAAAACCCTAGCACGGTTTGTAAATGTTCCCTTCGTTATTGCAGATGCAACTACACTCACTCAGGCAAGTTAAGTAAAGTAAATACAATGAAGTAATTCACTTTGGTCTCTAAACATTATAAACAGTGTACTATATGTGTTCACAAAAATTGTGGACAATTAATATGCATTATGAACACAGACAAATTAGGAGCTGTATATTTGGCTAATGCTTGTTTTCTTGCGTGTACATATATGTACATTTAGTTTTCTCCTGTGATTTGAATATTCGTATTTATTCCAAGATTCTTTTGTATTATCCATCAGTGTTAATATTGTTTTGTCTAATTGACAATGAAATAAAGGACCATACATAGGTCAAGTTCCTTATATCCATTATGTCAAGTTCTCTAATCACACAATCATGTGTTCTATTTTTGAAATATTTGCATTTAATATCATTTAATTATAAACCCACATGGGAAAAAACAAAAACACATGGCCATATGTGGTTGGAGAACTTGACATAATGGATATAAGTAACTTGACCTAAGCATTTTCCTTAAGTAAAATTTGTTGTGATAATATTTTTATAATGTTGATAGCATATTTTTGCAGGCAGGATATGTTGGGGAAGATGTGGAGTCAATATTATACAAGCTTCTTATGGTAAATACTCTGATATTTATGTTAATTATACATTATATTCATTGTGCTTTCTTTCAATGGCTGGGACTAGGTCAATAATTCTTTTCCGACCTTCTTGGATGATATTTGATATGTGAATTGAACATGTAATATATAATTTAAAATTAGTTTTTAGAAGCATATTTCATCCACTCTTAGTATGTTAGGTTGGTGTCTGTGTTGGTCAAATAATACTGCGTCAGAAGTTTATTTTATTTTATTTTCTTTTATCTGTTTATTTTGGTAGAAGGGTTTTCTATATTATCTATATCCGGAATATAAACATGGTACAGTTGAATGTTGCTTCAGACATCAGAAGGTAAGAGAGGTCTTTCTTTGCAGTCTACTAATCAAAACCTCTTTGCCAAAGTAGTGGGAAAGAGGGTTAGTCTTCTATGATGTCTGTATCCATGCTGGATTATTATGGTGGGAGGCTGAAAAGGAAGTTTGAGTTGTTAAATTAGTTGATTTGTGAACATCAAAAGGATGCAAAGTCTAATTCTCTACACAAGAATTTCTAATTGCCAGTCCACTTGCATTGTTCAAATAAAGCAGTATAAGCCTATTACGCCTATTTATTAGTCCATGTAATCTGCTTTTGTCCTTTGTCATTTATATCTTCTTAGCATTGTTGTTTTCTTAAATTCTCTTGATGATTATTATTTATTAGGGTGAGATGAAGTTTGGCTTTCAATAAGTTGGCCTGATTAGACTTTATCATCCTGTGGTTTATTGGCAATGGAATGGTCTGAGGTTTAAGTTAAATATCCGTCATTCGATGATATAGTTCACACTTTTTATGTTGTGTCATAATTCACACCTTTTATTTCTACCTCTAGTTAGAAAAGCTGGCAACTAGCCTATTTATCTCATTTGAACTCTGCTATGTAACTGTATGTGCATTTTATGAATAGATTTAATGGTGCATCGCGTAATTTCAGGTTGCAGATTACAATGTGGCGGCTGCACAACAAGGCATTGTTTACATTGATGAAGTTGACAAAATTACCAAAAAGGTTCCCCTAGAATGTCCTTTTTTCCCCATTATTGTTTGTGTTTGTTCATTAAAATTTAACATTTCCCCCCTCACTGTATCCCGCATCTTCTGCTGTTTACCTTTCAGGCTGAAAGCCTTAACATCAGTAGAGATGTCTCAGGGGAAGGTGTTCAGCAAGCATTATTAAAGATGCTTGAGGGAACAGTAAGTTCATTTCAGTGATACAACATTCAAATCAAGTGAACTTGTTTTACAATTATCCACAACAACTGCTTTTGTGATTCATTCTCTATTTATTTATGGCACTTTTTTTCCATCAAGGTTGTCAATGTTCCTGAGAAAGGAGCTCGAAAACATCCTAGAGGTGACAATATATTGGTACGTGGACATAAGGTTTTGTTGTTACTCTGAAGTCATGGCATGTTGCATATCGTCCACAGAGTTCTTTTATTTCAAATCCATTCATGACTGTTCTTCCATATGTGTTTCTTTGCAGATTGATACAAAGGATATACTTTTTATTGTTGGAGGGGCCTTTGTTGACTTAGAGAAAACAGTCTCTGAAAGGTTCCACAATTTTTACTTTTGTACTTGCATTGATTTTAATATGGATTATTCACCTCTCTGTAACTTGGAACTCATTTCATTCGCTTATAGGCGCCAGGATTCTTCTATTGGATTTGGGGCACCTGTACGTGCAAACATGAGGACAGGAGGTGTCACAGATGCTGCTGTTGCATCATCATTATTGGAAACTGTGAGCACATGCCGTTGGTCCTGTTGCTTTTTTGACCGAGTACTGGACTACTTTTATTTACTGACCAACTAGCTTTAACAAGTTGGAAATTTACATTACGTTTGGCAGGTTGAAAGTAGTGATCTTATCGCATATGGTTTAATACCTGAATTTGTTGGGCGGTTTCCTATCCTAGTCAGTTTGTCAGCTTTAACTGAAAGTCAACTCATTCAGGTAGGCTATACTCCAGTGGCTGTTTAACTTGTGGGAAATGTTTTTGCAAGTTTTTTCCTTTTCATTTGGCAATATTTACAATTCAGCTCATAGCGGACTTGGGATATTATGGTATAATCTTTGTTCTTTTTTTTTGTCCAATTTTTATTGCAATTCTCAATGTGCTATATAGGTTCTTACCGAGCCAAAGAATGCTCTAGGGAAGCAATACAAGAAAATGTTCGAAATGAATGGAGTAAGTTTTCTCGTGACTCCTGTTATATCCATGGATGTTGCACAACAGTATGTAGTCTCTCTAGATTTTTGGTTCATGAACAAACCTGTGTATTGATGGAGATGGGGAATTGATTGCCATTTAGGTTAAAATATTTTGAATAACGATTGTTCTGACAAACAACCAATTAAACTGTACTTTGTTTCTCAGGTGAAGCTGCATTTCACAGAAAATGCCCTAAGATCGATTGCCAGAAAAGCAATATCTAAGAATACTGGTGCCCGGGGCTTACGGTCCATATTAGAGAATGTATTGGTGGATGCCATGTATGAGGTATGCCATTCCTTATTTAGATGAGTAATGTAATGGGGGTTTTGACAGGAAGGGAAGTCCTGCTAGTGAATTTAGCGCGGATTGATAGCATTAAAGACATGATGAATCTCAATGGCTCTAGGCAACTTGTGTAAAACATGGTTTAAATAGTAGCACCTTGACATATGCTCCTATATACATTCCATTGTTTTATATTATTCATATAATTTGTAATTATAATGTAATCTAGAGGACAGGGGAGTGCTTGGGACCTAAAAGAAATGCCCCCTAGGTATGGCTTCCCTATTTTTATGTTAAAGATTTCTGGAGTGTACCATGAGACCAAAATCATTTGCAAGCCATATATGTATGTTAAGTAAAAATAATAAGAATATGTTAATTGTTTTTATGTGGTATAAGACAGTGGCCTTTATAATATAGGATCTTCATTGAGTTACCCTTAATAGCATTACATAGTAGTTAAGGTTCAGTTTCTTTCTGTAGCCAACTCGTGAAGGACAGCACATGTTACAGTTTTGCGATTTTGCACTTATTACTCAAACTAGGCAGGTCTCATCTGCAGTAGTCATGCTATATTGACCTCTCTCTATTTTGGGTCACATCAGAAGGATTTGAATCCTAGACCTCTACACACACCTAAACTCCACCCTGAGCACCTATTACTTAAGCTAGCCCTGGATCATTTCTCTCTTTATATACGCTACCTCCGGTCCTAAATAAGAAAACTAGATCTTATATTTAGGACCGAAAGTAATATTGTGTATTGTTGTTATTGCCAGAGTTTGGGATGATGATCATTACCTCTCACTGGGGAATTTGACGATTGCATATTAATACAATTACATAGGCCATTTCATTTGGCTGTAATTTTCCATGCAGATTCCTGATGTCAGAACGGGTGATGACATTATAGACGCTGTTGTTGTTGATGAAGAAGCCGTTGAACATCAGGGGCGTGGCCGTGGAGCTAAAATCCTTTATGGCAAGGGTGCACTGGGTCGTTATCTTGAAGAACACAGAAGTAATACTGAGGTATGCGTCTTTTGGCACCATCTAATTTCATCCTTTCTTATCACTTCCCCCAACGTTTTGAAATCTTAATCATTTCTTGTTTCTGTGTGTAGTCTACGGAAGTTTCAGACAGGGACCATGAAGCAGACACAGAACTTCATTCTGTTGTTGCCAACATGTAACTTCGTGCTGATATATACACACATATATATAGATTGTAGTTTCCTTTGTACATAACAAGCTGGCTCATTTATTGGATAATTTATACAAACATGCTCAATCCAAATGTCCAAGCCGATTTTGGTAACAAGTTTTGGGCATTGTTGATCTGCCAAAAAATGTATATCGTAGGAGCATTGCTCGGAGGATCCTTATTGTGTGTTCTTCTCATCAGTCTTAGTAGCCAGCTAGCAGTTACTTAACATCAATCTGGGTTCATAAAAAAGTAAGAATACTGAGATTGATATGAAGATGTAGATATCTATTTAAATTTAAAGATAACGGGTCTGGATGATGACGATGATGATGATAATTATACGTGTTAGTGGCCACCATGAGTTAGTGAAGAGCTTCATATAATGCTTTCATAGATGCTTCCTTTCTTCATTTATTTATATTTTTAGGTGATATGATTATTAATGCGAAGATGCTTTTGAAACCTTCAGACATTCCTAAATGCCGTCCTGGGAATATCATGAAAATAAAATGTGGTGGGTCAACTGGAAATAGTATTCTATCACATCACTAATGTGCCATCAAGTTGTCAGCTTTGATATTTTATTTTCAGTTAACTTAATTCATTAATTTTAAAAAAAAATAAATTACGGAGGAAAAGTTATACAAGGGGGCGTCTCCCAAGCCTGAGCTCAGCTCCCGGCAGATCCTCAATGCGTCCTGAAAATGATACGCTTGTTCTGATGGCCCAAAAGTAAAATGGCTTGATTTAAATGGTGACATTGGCACCAGCCAAAGATTAGTACTTTTTCGTTTTTAAATAAAAAGAATAAAAAGTTGAGAAATGTACTTTAGTAAGATCCCAATTGACTTGATCTCTTAAATTTATATTTTTTTAAAATAATTTTATTTGTTATACGTAGCAAAAGGGATTTTATCCATCAATGTAGTTCTTGATACAAATAATTAAAAGGATACTTTGAAAAATTAATACATATTTATTATAAATAATTAACTTAATTATTATTTTTTAATTTTCATAATAAGTTATCTAACTTCTGCCTTTAAAAATAGGAGGAGCGCAACAGGGAACATACTTATGGAGTTGAAAGACATTCTTCTTCCTAACATTATTGCAAAAACTCACAAAATGAAAAATCTCTCACCATGTTCAGCTCAAAAAAAAAAAAGAAGGAAAAATCTCTCGCCATGAATAATCATGATGGCCACCCCTTAATGATTTTTTTTAATTAATATAGGGATATTGATCTATAATGAAATGGGAGTAATAATGGAATACTATAAGAAGCCACGTTTAGGAGCAAAGAAAGTGATTGGTAGGGCCAATATGCCTTTCACAAATTGTACCAAAAGGCATTTGCATCCACCATTCCCAGTGAATCATCAAAAAGTGGGTGAGACAACACAACAATGATGAAATTAAAATATGAACTAAAGAGGAAAAAATACATTTCGTTTTCATTTTTAAATGTCGAATTTTTTATTATTATTCTTTTATTTATTTTTCACAGTTTGGAGCTTCAAATGTCTAGTCCTGTGATTACATCTTTACATCTACGTGACTAGGACTTGACGTCTCGCTATCCATATTAAGGTGCCTTCCATTATTTCTTGTGCTTTATAGAAACATAAGTTTTTGCCACACAAAAAAAATTCCTTCTTCTATGATCTCAACGTTTGTTTTACTTTATGCGCCGATAATTTAGCTATAGGAAATCATTTTTCTATGGGCCAAAAGAAAATATTATTTTTTATTCGTTACGTCATCTTTTATTTTTTTGGGGGAATAAAGATAATATATTCGTTTTTGTCAAAGCTTTATTTATTTTTTGGAAAAATTACAAATAAAGACCCCTTAATATGTAAAACTGCGATTTGAGACCTTCAATTTGGAAAATAGCAAATAAAAATCTGGTTCCAGATGACAAGTGGTTTAATGTCTAAAATGCCCCTGAGCCAAATGAAAAATTGACTATGAAAAATGATAAGTTTACTTTAGTGAATGACAATTTCAGTAGACCAAATCACAACTTGACTGAGAGTATGTCAAATGACGAGTTAACTATGAGAAATGACAAATTCACTTTAGCGAATGACAACTTCAGTAGACCAAATCACAATTTGGCTTAGGGGCATTTCAGACATTTCACCCACATTTCATATTTATAAAAGTAAGACCGGGTCCTTCTTTACTATTTTTCAAATTTAGAGTTCCAAATCATAATTTTACATATTAAGAGGTTTTTATTTGTAATTTTTCCTTTTTAAATAAAATAATTTAAATAGAGAAAATCTCAATTATAATTTAACGCGTCCGGATTTGGATTTGATGGGGTTGTCCAACGCCAACGGAGTGTTGAGGTTGTATTCTTATTATCTTACTTCTAATTTTTACACTTAAATATTATTTATTTGATAAGCTGATAATTATAAATTTGATATTGTTTTACATTTTGAATTATTTCGGATACACATTATTAGAATTTAATAATTGAAAATAACAATCAGTATTATTTAAATTTTATAAAATGGCCCAAATTCTTTTTGTCACCAACTCCATGGTAAGTTTTCACCCCCAATTTTTTGTGTAAAAGCTAATTAGAAATTTGAGTTTGATGTTAAACATAATATCTAAGTTAATTTTATTTTTAGTATTTATCCTTTTTCCTTAAACTACTTTAACTAACTTATAAATTAACATATAATCTAACGTTATAAAAAAATTTTAAAAAATCATGCCATATTAATTGTAATTAATTAATCAATTTGATTTACTTAATTTATTCAATTTAATTAAATAAATATTAATTTAGTACTACTCTGGTCTTTAATATAAGAACTTATTTTATTTTTGTTTTGATTCTAAATATAAGACTCCGATCCACTTTATCTCTCATATTTATTGATTTTTTCAAGATAATCCTTATAATAATAATTCTAGTCAATACACCTCATTAGTAAGGATATTTTTAAAAAAAACAATACATATTTATTATAAATAACTAATTTAACTAGTTTTTTTAATTTATTTAAATTAATCAATTAGTTATTATATTAAAAATAAGAGGTAATTATTTCATGCATGAGTACATTATTTTTTGGTTTCAAAAATAAATTTTGGGGAAAAAAAAGACATGGACACGTGAAGAATCTAGTTGTTAATATAGGCAGGCGGGCGCCGGGGGTCATTCGTCATTATTTATAACATCGTACTGTATTGTTTTGCTCTATCAGATTTTAAAATAAAATTCCACATCAATAAAAAAGGAAAAGTATAAGTGAAATTTAGCCACCGTTGGATTGATCCAACTGCTCGTTAATTTCTTGAAATTTAACGGTTACCATTCTTCTCTCTTCGTTTGGGGGGAGAGAGAGGGAGGGTGGGAGAGAGCCAGCCAAGAAAGGAACCTGTTCTTCCGAAAGAAAGTAGTTTGCCCTGTCGGAATCCACGCGTTCAACTTCATCCGCTTCATCGATCCATGAAAATCCCCATCTTCCTTCTCCTATTTTCTTCTTCTCCCTTGTAAATTTCCTGGAAAAGCAAAGGAAAAAGGAGAGAACGAAGAGAATTGAGGGAAGAAGATATTGAGAAGGAAATGCCCAGATAAATTTTGGGGAAATTTTTTATTTTGATTACTGGGTGTTTCTTTCTTTTTTATCTTGCTTCGCTTCGAGGGGATTTTCGGTGAGTGATGGACTTGGACAGCATCGAGTGTGTTTCGTCCTCAGATGGCATGGATGAGGATGAGATCCAACACCATAGTCTGCATCCCCACCCCCATCTTCATTCTGAGTTTTCTTCAACCAAGCCTCGCAATGGAGGCACCAATAACAACAATATTATGGGTCCTACGGCCATTGCTCCCGCAACCAGTGTCCACGAATTGTTGGAGTGCCCTGTCTGTACCAATTCAATGTACCCACCAATTCATCAGGCTAGTTCCTTCAACGATTTCTATTTCAATTGTATTCTCTTTCATCAACTTACTTGTATAATTGTTTATCGGGTGAGGGGCTTGTTTCCTTTTCATTGCTCCCTTAATTTTCCGTACTTGTTTGTTGAATTTGATGGCTTTGAGGTGGGATTGAGTGGATTTGTTGAAGAGGTTTGTTGAAATCCAGACACAGGTAAGTTTAGTGGCATCTCTTGGCCTTGATGCTCCTTAGATTTGGTTTCCTAGTTTGGACTTGGTTCTTGTGGGTAGAGCACTATATGTCTGGGAGAGTTAAGTTGAAGGGATGAGTTAAGCAATGACTCCTGTAGAATTGTAAGAAAACTTCCAACGAAAGGCACCAAGTTGAGATATCTAACATGGTACAATTAGTTTAACCTTTGTATTTCCATGATTAACAGATATATGGGCAAGGTTAAGCGTTATGTTGCAAATTAGCCTTTTCTTTTTCACATAGTGATTGCATGTTGGTCAGATGTCTTAAAGCTCGAAGTTTCAGTTAGACCAGTGAATTAAATAGAGAATGTTGGGTATTAGGATTCACCCAGGTCGAAGTATTGGTATGAACGGATTATAATAACAGCACTATATAGTTCACTCATGGCCTTGATTCATGTATTTTGATTTTTGAGTCAATCGGCTGACTGTCGATCAACATTAGGGGTTTCATATTGCTGTATTCTCTACTAGACTATGGAGAAAGATTGGAATAATTTTTATTCTCAGATTGGAGATTATATCAAACTTGAAAGGACAGGTCAGTGATCCACAACAGCAGAAAAGTCCGTTTAGAATGTCTTCTCTCCCTCTTACAAACATTAGAAGATGTTCTTGATATGAGAGGAAGGTCTGGAAGTGTGATCAATATTGCTGCGTTAAAAGGGTCAATACTGTTTCATTCTCCATGTTCTCCTTAGCATGCATCTTTGGTGTTAATGGTGAGATGATGGCAGTGAAATATTTAGTCATTTGAGTGTGTTAAGGTTATCGGACTGGCCAGTACTTTTTGTGAACGCTTTGTCATAGGTGGGATGAAACATGCCATTCAAACCTATTTTTGATTTATCTGTATTTACTGGGTAACAGATACTCAGTGGGAAAAATAAAAAAGAGAAGGTAAAGTAAGGATTGCTTTTCTTTTTGGCCTTCAACAAAACAAGTTTTTAGCCAAACTGAGAAGTTATTCTTTGAATATTCAATAAATGGCAAAAAATTACTTATGGCATTCAAGTTTACTTTAATCTTTAAATTTGTATGTCTGTGATTATTTTCTATGTGCAAGTGTAATATTTGCCCAAAAAGCTGAAATAATAGTTACTAAAGTGAGTCTGAGTTTTAGGCCGAAACTTT